AGAGAGGGAAGCTGTTGTACGCACGCAGCTGATGTTCACTGAACGTGAAATGCTTATAATTATTGCCGGCTAGTGTTCGAAGGTAAATAGCCGACAAATGGACATATGTCCTGAGAAATCGTCCAGCGAGGGTCAGGAGGGGCGTACAAGAAATGAGGAGGGAAGAGCGGACTGAACACAGGAGGAAATCTGCTGTATCCAGAGCCTTTAATGAATGCTTCAGTTATTAGGGCTTTTGTCTGGAACTGTTCGTTTGATCGTTCGTCCAGCTCGGCACGATTGTCTTCCTCGCCTACTCCACAACCCTTCTATTACACCATCCTCACATTATTCATTTATAAAGATTGCCGAACGCTGCGGTAAACAGCTGTTCCGTTGTCTCATTTGACCAAAAGAAGTCCCCGGTTTTTCAGTTTTTCCACTGTGTCTAAATTTTAATATTAAGAGTTAATTTATTTATTAGAATTAAGCAGAGCTGTAAATGCTATTCAGAAAGTAGGTATCAGCTAATTATGAAGTATATCGAGTGATATTAAAGAAAAAGTCAAAAACTGTGTAGCAAGATTGCCTGGCTAATCACTGTAGACAAGCCATGTTAGTGATGTTACTGAAATGCTCCCATGTGTTATTAAGGCGATTCCTAATACTTCGATGCTGAAAGCTTAGCACAGTTACGAAAGCGTTCTAATCTTAAAAAAAATGCATATACTTGTTCGTTTTTCAGTTTACAACACTGTTATGAATCACTGGTTGGTTAAACTGTATTTACATTCCTTTTTTGAAATTTCCTTAGCGACCTAGACTGAAAGGTCGTGGAGCCGCAAATAATGATAGTCTATTTGGTACCAATTTGTCATCAAAAAGAAAAAACTCGTTAAACTTACTGTAAACTAACTTCTCTAGTCCGCATATATTATTCTCATAAAAAATGCTGGCTCATATGTCAATTTGTACCACAGGTTAACTTGCTCTTCTTTCTCTCTTCTTTCACTCTTTCTTTTTCTTGCTGTTTTCTTTTTCTCTCGTATATCTGTCTTACAAATTAGTCATATGACTGTCTGCTCGGTACATCGCGGATAGGAGGCTGTACTGATGATTACCATCTCTACCCACATGCAAAGTTCGGCTTATCTTTACAGCGAAGGAATAAAACACGGACTGCATCCTAACATGGCTTCTTACACATGATAGTTTGTCCAGTCTCTCTATTTTACTGTTCCAGTCGGTGAAGTGCTTCATTTTAGTCAAGCTATAGCAATTTTCTAAAAGAAATTTTGATACTTAGCAAATACTATAGAAATCCTTTAATAGCTAAAGTCTTGTCAGGCGCTCATGTCGGGAGGACCGTTGTGCTGATAACCCGGTCAGGGTGTAAAACGGCCATCAGAACTATCGGCGAGTTGATCATCGCAGGCAAGATGAGGCATTATTTAAAGAAACTGGAAAAGTTATCAAATTCATATTTGAAGGACCATGCTAATAGTTACAGCTGACCAAATTATCAAAGTGAGCATGTTAACCCAGATTCGTACTTTAATTCTTTGATACCTTGATCAGCTTTTGTTTCATCGTCGCGTCCCTTCTCACCATTGATGCATCTAGCAACTTTTCCATTCCTCTCTATTAGGGATTTCCTGATTCAAATTATCCTGAATTCAGACACAACGAGACATTTTCTTTTAAGCAATTTAAAGACTGTTTTCAATATTTTGTGATTTATCTTCAAATCTCACTTGAGTAAGATGCATTTGGAAAATCGATATTTTCAGGAAAACATATTTATGAAATCTGGTAGTACCTAGCTGCTCGCTCCCTAGACTTGCATTGTATATGTACCTCAATGGCTGGATGAAATCGTCGTCGTTGTCGTTGTGTTTTCCACGAAAGTAGTTGCCTGTGTTTGTGCATGTGCCATCCAGCTTCTTTCTATTCAAAATCAATGAACCTCTTCGGCGTTGTATCCAGAGACGATCATCAACTTGTTTATCATCATCGTAATCACCCATCAGTCTTCTCTCATCGGCACTAACCTCTTACTCAACTCATGCAAAAAGTACTGAAGCTTGTTTGTTTACATTTCAAGCTTTGTCACGTGTATCTGTAAGTGTGTGTGTGTGTGTGTGTGTGTGTGTGTGTGTGTGTGTGTG